GGACAAGAGAAGATTCTGGGGATTTTGGTCCAGAAAGTAGCTTTTCCATATTCGTGATGAGCTATCTATTGATTGCTATCTCATTCATTATCTCTCAGTGGGTGGTTTGATATCCCAATAGAGATGGGCATGAATCGCTGGTTTGTCAGTTTGTGACTTTTTACAAGTGGCTGAACAGGGGTTCACCCCTTCCCAGCCCCACCTTCTCTAGTGGGTGCCCACTCAAGAAGCAGCACCCTGGTTTTCCTGCCTCTGGGTGCTGCCTCTAAGAGGGTGGCCAGTGGAGGAGGTGGAGCTGGGAAGCACTGACCATCTTTTCGGCAAATAAACCATCACAAATTGTCAAAGTGTCAGTTTTTGCCAATCTCTAAGAATCCCAAGAAGGCTGACCGCCAAAGAATTGATGCTTTTGAATTGTGGTGCTGGAGGAGACTCTTGAGAGTCCTCTGGACTGCAAGGAGAACAAACCCCTTCAATTCTGAAGGAAATCAACCCCGAGTGCTCACTGGAAGGACAGATCCTGAAGCTGAGGCTCCAATACTTTGGCCATCTCATGAGAAGAGAAGATTCCCTGGAAAAGACCCTGATGTTGGGAAAGTGTGACGGCAAGAGGAGAAGGGGATGACAGAGGATGAGATGGATGGACAGTGTCATCAAAGCTACCAACATGAATTTGACCCAACTCCAAGAGGCAGTGGAAGACAGAAGGGCCTGGAGTGCTCTCGTCCATGGGGTCACAAAGAGTCCAACACAACTTAATGACTAAAGAACAAAATTGATTTCCAAATTGTCACCCATGCTCTTGGAGCTTTGAGAAGTATTTTACGTCAGTCTTATTGCTCTCTGACTGCTCAGGTGAATCTAACAGAGGATTTCACATGATCTTTCCTGCCCCTTTTCTTCTCAGCTCAACTGGCCCACTTGCCGATGGCTACAAGATTATATGTTCTCATCCGGTGGCCAGATGGAAGCCGTGTTATCAACATTGAAAACATCAAAGAACCCCGGAAGCCCTTCCATATGTATGCAGTTGGAGAGCAGGTTTTGGCCAGATGTCCAGGGTTTACTGGTTTGTACTGGGGAATCTTGAAAGGAATCAGTGGTGAGTAGAACTGAGCCTCCACAATCTATTTACAACAACTGTATCACTAAAAAAGCAGTTGTGTTATTAGATTTTTTTTCAGAGAGAGTGGCCCTGAAAATGTTTCTTTTTTTTTAAAAAAATCATCCATTCTTCAGGTGTTGTATTCAGAGATGGGCATGTACCTCAGAGGTTTGTGCAATTCATTGGTGTGGCACCTGTGGTCCCCCATTCTACTGGCCGGATCCCCCGCTCATCAGATGGTACACACTGCTTTTCCCATGCTCTTTGTGTGGCCATCCAGTCATAGCAGGAACACAGACTTCCCTTATCTACCTCCTCCAGCAGCTGCCCGCTCAGACGAGGAAGCAGGGAAAGAATCCCTGCAGTGCTGCCTTTGAGTGGACGGCTGCTGGAGGAGGCGGAGAAGGAAAATCTGTGCTCCTCTGCAACTGGATGATCACACGAAGAGCAGGAGAAAAGCAGTGTGAACCAGCTGGGGGTCGGAGGGGGAAAGAAACATGCAGCACCTATGATGCCACATCAATGAACCAGCACAAACCTCTGAACCAAGATTTGTGCCCATCTGTAGTTGCATTCAAAGAGCAAGGAATCTCAAAATCCCAGCTCTTGTTTTTAAAACTTTTTCCTAGAAATTTTTCCAATATCTAGCCCCAGTTTGTCTTTCCCCTCCTGGAAAAATGAGAAAAGCCCAGGTTTGTTGTCAGGATCAGTAAGGTAAATCAATGAACCAGCAGAAACCTCTGAACCAAGATTTGTGCCCATCTGTAGTTGCATTCAAAGAGCAAGGAATCTCAAAATCCCAGCTCTTGTTTTTAAAACTTTTTCCTAGAAATTTTTCCAATATCTAGCCCCAGTTTGTCTTTCCCCTCCTGGAAAAATGAGAAAAGCCCAGGTTTGTTGTCAGGATCAGTAAGGTAAAAATAAGTTAAGGTACAGTATTTGAACCATCTAACTTGTTATATGAATGGCATGTAACATGAATAATAACTTGTTACATGAATAATAACATAATTTGTTATTATCAGTGACATTTCGTTTTGGGCAGAATAGGGTATCAGCTGTTCTGCTATGTACTCCTATGGATTTGCATATATCTTCCATGGAAAAATTTACATTTGAAATATGTTTCTTCCAACAGAGCATAAATATGTCTTGGAGGAAAAACTACAAGAAGATAAGGAATTTCAAGAGAGGCTGGGTAAGAAGCTGAGATCCTTGAAGTGATCTGGTGTGGCAGAGCTCAGAGCAAGCCAATTTTAAATGAAACAAAAAGTATGACAACAGGGTCAAAATTCGTTGTTTTGTTGTTGTCTTTTTGGCAAGAATTTTCCAAAATTCTGAAGTCTCTTCCCATTCTGAATGGAAAGAATATCAGAGCTTCAAATTTCTGTGTGTATTTACCCCTCTTATTATGGAGTCTGGATTCTGCCCCTCTTTTTAAAAACCATGTCATTGATATCTGTATGGCAAACAGATTCAGTATCATCCTCTCTGTGGAATTGCTGTACTTGTTGAATTTGTAGAAGTGTGGTTTCAGGTTTGTTTTGTAAAGAGTTCAGCAAAATTCACAGACAACATAGTAGGGGTGGAGGCTTTAAAAATGAAATGGAGGAGGAGAAGTGACTGGTTTTCCCTCCTCAGCCAGCTCTACTGAATAGATACAGTTTATGTAGTATATGACAGAATAGTGAAGATCTGGAAGCTCGGAGTTGGCCTCTGACCCAAACATTCAAAATTGTCTCTCTGTTTCTGTCTACAAGCATTGTTTCTCCATCCACAGCTCAGTTGACTCCCAAGTCGTGTAAAGAAAGATGCTCCATTTAGTTGATAGATCCCATATGTTCACCCCTTCTTCTCTTCTTTTCGTCTCCAGTAGAAGCATTTTATTCTTCCCAAACCGAGGGGTCCTAGCTCCCTCGCTCTGCACACCAGCCAAGGTTATCTGTTGGTGACTGGTATCTCTCCAGATGTTGTATCCTAGCTCCTATGGGGAAGACTAATGAAAACTGGAATCCAACATCTGGAGGGCCACTGCCTTTGCAGAGTTCATGTATGTGGACTTCCAGATGTTCTTGGGCTTCAGCTAGTATCCTCCATTGTCAGTGTAGCTAATGGTGAGAAATTATCAGAGCTGAAACCCAACAACACCCCTCATATAGAGTTGGTCATTAGGGAAGAATGTTAGGAAAGGACAAGCATGCACAGGAATGCTACCACCAAAAATGCATTATATTGCCTAGACAAATCTAACTGAGCCACATATTTTAAAAAATGGGAACACAATGTCCTCTGTGTATTCAGTGATCAGATACTCTAAGGGTTGGATTAGATGAAACACTACCTTTGCATTTAGAAGGCAATAAGAATGATTCCTTCCAAAGACATGAACCTTCAAATCGACCATATCTGCACAACCAGCTTGCAAAGGAAACCTTGTGATGATTAACCAGCAGGCAGAAACAAGCTGATTTACAACTTGCAGAGCCATGGAACCTCATGCTAGGGTAAATAAATTAATTTAATCTCTCACGAGTGCTGTGTTTCTGCAGATAGGTTGATTGGAATGCTTGCTTCGACTCTGAAAGCCCTTTGTCTGAGACGGTGAGGAACTGCCATCAACCATTAACCCAAACCCTGTTGAGATTTTAGGCATACTCAAGAAGAAGTGGCTGCAGGTAATTGCAGCTAATTGGCAAAGCTGCCTGATATGTGCTGGACATATGATCCGCAGCATGACTGGGAGGTGCCCACCATGTTCTTGGTTAGCTAAAACAACTTCCTTCTTACACAAAGTAAAATCCTAGCAGGATTTTGACCGGTATTTACACATAGAGATGGGGGTATTCGTATACAAAGAAGAACATCCCTGTGCATCTGGGTTCCACTCATGCATCCGGCAGCTGCGTCAATCATCCTTCCAATCACTCCTGGAGTGGTTAAAGAGGGTATGCCCCCTCCAGACTGCTGGACTGTCCACTCATGCATCCGGCAGCTGCCTCAATCATCCTTCCAATCACTCCTGGAGCACTGCTCTCTTCCCACTCACCTAGCCACTCCAGGCACTCCAGGGAGGAAGGATGAGCCCAGGCTGACCTCGTTAAGTCCAGCTGCACAGGGATATTTGTATACGAATATGAACACCCCCATTTCTATTTACAAGGTTAGATGGCAGAGCTAGTCTTACTTGATATGAATCAGTAGTTTGCATATTGAGGAAGGGGACGTGGTGGCGCTGCGGGTTAACCCGCAGAAGCCTCTGTGCTGCAAGGTCAGAAGACCAGCAGTCGTAAGATCGAATCCACATGACGGAGGGAGCTCCCGTCACTTGTCCCAGCTCCTGCCAACCTAGACATTCGAAAGCATATAAATGCGAGTAGATAAATAGGTACCACCATGGTGGCAAGGTAACAGTGTTCTGTGTCTAGTCACGCTGGCCACGTGGCCAAGGAAACTGTCTTCGGACAAACGCTGGCTCTACGGCTTGGAGACGGGGATGAGCACCGCCCCCTAGAGTTAGACACGACTGGACTAAATGTCAAGGGGAACTTTTACCTTTATATTGAGGAAGATATTGCTTTGGAATCTCTTTTGAGGCTTCTGGTATAGATCCATTTTATCAAGGACCACTTTGCTGTAGACCCAAAGTAACACAACACTTTTGTTTGGTACCCAGGCTTCCTCTGAAGCAAAAACATCTCCTCTAACAAAAGTGAGTTTGCAGTGTTAACCTACAGCTGTGTGGTATCAATAATAAGTGTTTTGATTCTCAAAGCTCAGCAATATCAGGTTTGCTTGGAAATCATTTCCCAAAATTTCCTGGCTAGGGCATATCGGGGAATTGTATGCAACGTTTCCAAGCTCTCCTTGTTCTCTAATACAACCTAATACATCTTTTATGATTTCAGAAGAACAGGCAACCACGCAGAATTCAGGGGCACCACAGTCCAAGAGATCAAGGAAGTCTTTTCCCAAATGGAATCCAGGGAATGGCTTGAGGAAACCCCAGAATGACAAGACCTTCAGGTCCATTGTGGAAGAGGCAGAGGCAAGTCTTCAGCAAAGTCCTGCTACACCTTCTGGCCGAAGAGAAAGTCACCCTGTCAGCATCCTGGTCAAGTCCTGCCCTTCGGAGGCAACGTCTCCACAGTCTTCCTGTCTCTTCCAGGCAACCTCTGCTTTCCAAACAATCTATGCAGCTGGAATATCCCAGAGAGGGGCAACAAGGCCAAGCCAAGGGAGCAGAGGTAAAAAAACAAAAACAAAACACCAAAAGGACCTCCCAAAGGAACAAAAACATGAAAGATTTATTTATTATATTTATATACCGCCCATCTAGAATGGGTCTACTCTGGGCGATTTACATACAATATAAAAAATAAACTAAGATAAAATCCAGATGAATCCAAGGTGGGAAAGGGAAAAAAAGAAAGAGGGGGGAAAAAAGAAGAGGAAGAAGGAGAAGGAGAGAGAAAAAAAGAGAAAAAAGGAAGATAGGCTAGATAATGGGAGTAGGGAAGGCCTGCTTGTATAGCCATGTCTTCAAGCTAGTCTTGAAGGCCTTCGGCAAGGAAGCCAGGCGGATCTCAGTAGGTAAGTTGTTCCAGAGGTGAGGGGCCACTGCCGAGAAGGTCCGATTTCTGTTTTTTCCCCCCACTGGTCCTCTTTTGGTGTTGGGCCCTCAGCCGCCCAGCCTGACTGGAGCTGGTGATACTGGTAGAAATGGGTGGAAGAAGGTGCTCTGCCAAGTATCAAGGTCCTAAAGCAGGGGTGTCCAACCTTTCACCTTCCCTGGGCCACATTAGAAGATGAAAATTTGGTTTGGGCCGCACATACATTTGGTTTGGGCTGCATGGGGGAACAGCCCAAGCCGTCCTCCGCAGCCCCTCTCCAAGCACGCTTACTGGCAGCTGCAATCTCAGACGGCGGCTTTATGGGGCCGGGAAGGGGTCCACCTATTGACGGGGACAGCACAATGCAGTCACACAGCCCCCCTGTCCCCTCCCCTCCCACTACTTCCTTCCCTCTCTCCCCCTCTACTGTTGTGACATGCCCCGGCCACATTCCGGCCACAAGCGCCGGCAGTGTATCTTGAAACTTTGGAATTTCTTTAAAAATAAAACATTGCACTGGGCCGCATTACGAGCTGACCTGGGCCGCATGCGGCCCTCGGGCTGCGGGTTGGACAAGCCTGTCCTAAACCATTAAGGGCTTTATATGTAACACCTTGAAATCAATGCGGAAGCAGATAGGTAGCCAGTGTAAGGCTTCCACAACAACTGCACTGGCTACCAGTTTGTTTCTGGGCCCAATTCGAAGTGCTAGTCATTACCTATAAAGCCCTATATGGCTTGGGTCCAAGTTACCTGAAGGACATATATGTCTTCTCAGCATTTAAGAGGACACCTTACTCTTGGTCCCATTGCCCTTGCAAGCACGATGGATGGGGATACGAGGCAGGGCCTTCTCTGTGGTGGCTCCCAGCAGATAATGTGGAATGCTTTCCCTCAGATGATCAGGTTGGCCTCCTCCTTTTTATCCTTCCACCGACAGCATAAGACCCACCTTTTCAGACAGGTTTTTAACAATCATAGTTGAGTCTTTGAATGCCTTTTAAAGTTTGTTTTATTATTCAATTTTATTTTAATTAGCATACAGTTTAATTGTTTTGTAATGTTTAACTTACAGTATGATCTTTTTATTTCTATTCTTTTTAATATTGTGAGCCACTTTGGGTCCCCTTACGGGTAGAAAGGCAGCCTATTAAAGAGTAGAACAAGCAAGCAAACAAGCAAACCAACAATAGGGGCCTACAGATCAATGCGCAATCCTTCTTCTGTAGACCCTTTGACATGATCGTTGTCTGGCTTCATTCCACTCTTTGTGTGTTTCCAGTACGCTGGGAAAATCACATTCCCATCAGTGGAAAAATGCAAACAGCAAGGTCAGGACTGAAGCTTTTGGCCGGACTGCAGCTGTTTGCGAAGCTGGGTGCGCTATTTTAGCTTTACTTTTATTTTTAACCCCAGTAAAAGCCTCAACGGCATCTGAAATCCACTGGGAAGCAAGAGAGGTTAAAATTGAAAAGGGCAACATGTATCATCATCTTTGACTCCTTCTTAAGAAGCCAGTGCAGAGGGTCTGTGCTTCTCTGCAGTTGTTGTCCTTTCTCTCTCCCCCCACCTTTCCTTTTCCTTGGATATAAAAGGAGAGACACTGTAGCCACAGTAGAGCCTCTTAACAATACTATGCGGCAGATCATATGAAAGAAAAAGCAAGTAGCCAACAAATTTCTTGGCTCCGTGAAACCTCCTGGATTTCCCTTGTCACAGACCCATACTATAATCATTACACCATGCCAGATCTCTCCTGTAGTGCTGGGTGGGAAATTTGTAACTACAGTTACTTTTTGACTGTACTGCTTATCTGGGAGCAGATTTTACAGCAGCATTAGATTGATTTTAATATGATAATAATATTAGAGCTGCAGAACCAGAAGGGACCCTATTGATCATAAAGTCCAGCCCCTATCAAAGAAGCACAATAGGGAATTAAACTCTCAACTTCTTGCTCCATAGCCAGATACCTAAACCACTGAACTATTTAGTGGTTCACAGTCATGTTGAAGCTGTGAAGGTATGTCTGTGTGTAATGAGGCTGTGTGATGAAGCTGTAAATATATTCCTATGAAATGTTTGTTATATTTGGGTATGATAACTTTTTGACTGTACTGCTTATCTGGGAGCAGATTTTACAGCAGCATTAGATTGATTTTAATATGATAATAATATTAGAGCTGCAGAACCAGAAGGGACCCTATTGATCATAAAGTCCAGCCCCTATCAAAGAAGCACAATAGGGAATTAAACTCTCAACTTCTTGCTCCATAGCCAGATACCTAAACCACTGAACTATTTAGTGGTTCACAGTCATGTTGAAGCTGTGAAGGTATGTCTGTGTGTAATGAGGCTGTGTGATGAAGCTGTAAATATATTCCTATGAAATGTTTGTTATATTTGGGTATGATAAAAGTGGCACGTAATTTCTCTCTATGCTCTCTTTAAAAAGATAGTGCTACCATAGCAACAAGAAGGAAATCAGATGATCTCGTAACACAATGCCAGAAACACATCTTTATCAACAGGTAAATAAATCCCTAAAGGACAAAATTATGTAATTGTAATGTATGCATCTAAATATCTAAATCAAACATTTATATTTTGCCTTACCTTTAGGAGTACAGTTTTTGAGACAAAATAATTCATCATGGAATCCATTCAGAGATACATAGATATAGACATGTGTTGGAATACTCCTTTATTCCTTCTGGGTTATAGAACTTCCTGCTGTTTTGTGAATGTTAAGTACATCTCCGAATGCTGGAAACCCACACGAATTATTAGCCTGAATGGACAAAAATCTAACATGAAAGCTAGGGTTTGCTATATTTTTCTCTTCGCAAATGGCCAGAAGGAGATTCAGAAAAGGCCTTCATATATACCTGTTCTTTGATTTTTAACAGCTAAAATGTCTGCTTTGGATTGCCTGCTTCAGCAAAATTCTGCGGAATTTGCTATTGAAAATGAGAATTGTAAGCAATATCCTATAAAAAGGAAGAAAGCTGAAATCCTGCTGCTTCGCATAGTAAGTTGCAACTAAAGTCAATCCACTGAATCGGTGTGGATTTGGTGAGTCAAGTCTTCCTTACGTTACATTGACTCAATGGGCCAATAGTAGTTGTGCTTTCCTCTGCTAGGTAACAGGATTTCAGCCCCCCAAAAAGTCCACCTTGAAATGTGCTGTTGTCGTGCAACATTACGCCAGTAGAAATTTTAAGGCATACAGGCAAAATCTTGATACCATATCTCATCAGATTTCATTTAGAAATGGGGAGGGGGAAGTATCTTGGTCATATCTCAAATCGATCTAAGGCAAAATGTTGGAAATTTGTTTTGAAGATAAAGTGGCCTCGACTTAGCTTAGTATTGTAGACTCTGCTCATGGTGTCTGCCATGACTGGCTTTGGGATTCTAGGCGTTCTAATTTTTCCAGGCTCTGCTTATTTAATATTGAGTAGACCAGAGTAGACTAATCCACTGTAGATGTCCTTTAATGTTCTCCAAATTCTTATTGCATTTATTTGGTGTAAGTCTTGCTGCACAACAGCAAATGCCAGCATTGTTTTCCTAAGCTGCATCCATTTTCAGTAAGCCGTACACTTTTTGTGTTATGCCAGCAGACATAACTCATAGGATTTAGACCATAAAGTAAGGAAAAAAGGTCTCCCTCCTGTATCTAACACCTGGCAACTGCTGCTTTGTTTCTTGATGTGGTGTTAACACACAACAGTCTTGGAGGCACCAGCAAATTGTTATTTAGCTTCTGTAACTGCTTTGTCCAAGCCTCAGTAAAGAGGAAGGGAAGGGGAGAGCCAATGTAAACAGTAAATGTCCCCAAAAGTAACTTTATGGTCATCAGTTATTTTGCTTTTGAAATGTAACTTAAACCTTCATGATTAAAAAAGTAACATTTAGGAGCCTTGAAGTGGTGGGCCTGGTTAGGAGGGAGGCCAATATGTAACCAGCATCCTTAAATTTTAAGCCACCCAGAGATTTCTTTAAGTGCTCCGGAGTGGTATATAAGCAGCACACTTGATTACAATACCAACTCAGTATTTCCAGGTTCTGGGTTTGAAACTCAGTGAAATGAGCTTCCATGCCAAAAATTGCCTATCCTTAACATAGATGCCACCTTCCATTTCACTTGTCTAGAATCACACGGGCTCCCTCACTGCCAGAGGTGAAAATGTCAAATGGCCATTCTACCCTACATCACTTTGGGTTTTCCATGCCTGATAAAACTGGGCAAGACACTCAAATAATACTGTATGTTCTCTCTTTTTGGAATAAACTTATATTTTCATGCTTGGAACAACCTACAAAGCATCTCGCGTCATCCTTGGTTTGTTTGTCTTTCTAGCTGGGATGAGTCAGGGACTGCCGATTCTCTGGAAACCGGTGGTTTGGAGGTTGTTCAGAAAGCCTTTGAAATGGAAAGGTAATTTGGCAGAAAAGAGGCCATCGGCCCCTAATTGCATTTCCATCGTCTTGCAAAAATATAAAGGAATTTAGAGGAGACGTGGCCAACAACCTAACAGCATTTTTTCAGAACACAAAGCTGCTTTACCACTGAAGAGTTTTCTGCTGGAATCTTGCCCTGTTGGTTCTGGATGGTCATGCACTGGCGGTGGTATTGGAGAACCCTAATATTTCAGAACCATGTGCCAAATATTCCCATTCGTCCATATTCCCTGGTACAGTGGGGTCTCGACTTATGAACTTAATCCGTATTGGAAGGCAGTTCTCAGGTCGAAAAGTTCTTAAGTCGAATCTGCATTTCCCATAGGAATGCATTGAAAACCATTTAATCCGTATCTGCTCTTTTCATCCATAGAAACTAATGGGAAGCTGCTATTCCACCTTCTGCCACTAGAGGGGGATATTTTTTTCTTTTTTCCTTTTAACCTAAGATGACTTAGCTTTAAAAAAAAGGAAAAAAAAAGAGTTCATAAATCGAATCTAATTTCGTAAGTCGAGTCCATATATTCCTATGCGAGCAGTTCGTAAGTCGAAACATTCGTATGTCGAGCCGTTCGTAAGTCGAGACCCCATTCCACCACCCGTTAGGTTTGACTCCATTGTCTAAAGCCTGGCCTGGCTTTCCACCTAAAAGACTTAAGCCTGCATTGGGTTCCCATCATTAAGTGCTTAGGATTAACAACACTTCCCAATGCCAGGATGCCCTCTGTTTGTTTGTTTGTTTGCTTCATTTCCAATTCTTTATATACCACTGTTTGTAAAACAGATCAAGGTGATGTATTCGTTATTTATTTGTTCTATTTCTAGTCTACCTTTCTCCCAAATTAGAGGAAGCCAAGCCGGCCCACAATCTTAAAAAGAATAGGATTAAAAATATAAGTTAAACTTTGAAAAATGGTTAAACTGTATGCTAATTAAAATACAATTGAATCATTAAAAGCAGATAAACATTTTAAAAACTATCTTAAAAATGGCATGCAGGGAACTCAATTATGATTGTTGTTGTGGGTTTTTCGGGCTCTTTGGCCGTGTTCTGAAAAGAGCCCCAAAAACCCACAACAACCATCAGATCCCGGCCGTGAAAGCCTTCGAGAATACATTCAATCATGATTGTTAAATGTCGGCCTGAAAAGATGGGTCATCAGCTATTGGTAGAAGGATGAGAGAGGGAATCTGATCTCCCAAAGGAGAGCGTTCCATAATCTGGGACCTGCCACAGAGAAGGCCCTCTTTCGTGTTCCCATCAGCCACGCCTGCGCTGATTTAGAAAAGTGAAATATAACCAATAGAAGTCAGTATTGCCTCAAAATCAGACCAAGAAAGGATGAGAAGGCAAAACAAAAAGGAGCAAATAAATATCAGTTGTAAATAGCAGTGGTGACCTGCAAGGTGTACTAAAATAAATTTATTTTTATCTGCTTGCTAAAAATTAGGAGTCAGTATTATGAACTCTGCATGAAAGGAAAATTTGAAAGTCCATGTAGAAGTGAGGAGATTCATGTTTTTAGGCAGCAACTCCCCCAAATCCACAGAATTCCACTTCATCACCCTTTGCCACTGGCTTTTGGGAGGGTAAGAAACACAGAACACGATGACCCCAAAAGAAGGCCAATGGGGCTAAATGTCATGGAACAAGGAAACTGGACATTTTCCCCTTTTGTCATTGCTCTACGGATAAGATAAATTGGACTTCCAGACATCTAGGAGACCCCGGTGGTCTCTGCCACTGAATCACAACGAACACCATGTGTAGTTCAGTCAAAGGCAGAAGGGAGAGTAAGGTTCGGTAAATCCCTTAAACTGGCTAGCCTGTTTTCTCAGGTGCGTTAAATGGTGAAATCAGAAGCCAAAAGACGGAGGCAATTCATGGACTGAGCAGCAGGCACCTCACATCAGAATGGCAAGGTCTGTCCAATCTGGCCTGCTCGTGTTCACCCCATTGGTGAGCACTTGGCGCGATGTAGATACTGGCCAAATTAGAACTGCTGAACCGTAGGCAGAGGGGGTGTACATACGTAGCTGGGGAAAGCTCATTTCTGAGACTAGCGCTTCCAAAATGTCTCAGCCAGTATGCTGTTGCACCTCTGTGTGAACGGGGTCCAAGGCCATATTATGCATAAGGTGGATGAGGCTAAAGCCTAGGGGCCCCACGGGGACTAGGGGCCCATCAATTATTTTGCTGAGGCAAAAGATTGAAATGCTGGAGGAGGTTCAAAATACCTGGAAGCCTAGGGGTCCAGCCATGAGTTAATACAGCCCTGGCAGGATCACTGGGATGAGCGACAGACACAGTGGACTAAGACCAGTGATATGACCCTGCTTGGCCTTCTGCATGGGATTACCTGTCACTGCTCCTGGACTCCAGAATGCCTTTGGTAAGGCAGGATGGCTGTGGGATTGCTTTGATCCCCACAGGGCACAGCAAGAGGAGGGAAAGAAAAAAAATTTAATTAATTAAAAAATGACTTGATGAATGACAAATTGATTCATTGTTCATCAGGCCACTGGGGGGCAATTCGTGGGTCGTGGGTCATCAAGATTGATGATCCATGAACCAAGACGGAGCGCCATTTTGATGCATTGTCCCTATCTCTAATGTAAACCATTTTGGTTCCTTTGGAGAAAAATGGGGTAAAAATATTTTGCATGCATGCATGCAGAAATATATGGGCAAATAGTGTCTTTGGTTTCCACCCACCCACAACAAACTCTGCACTCTTTATTACCCAGTTTCTTCCCAATCTGAACTTCCCCTCTCAAGCCACATAAAGCAAAAAACAAAGTATGCTGCTTGTATACCGCCCCATAGTGCTTCAAGCACTCTCTGGGCAGTTTACAAGCTAATTATGGAGGCTACACATTGCCCCCCACCACCAGCGAGCTGGGTCCTTATTTTATCGACCTCGAAAGGATAGAAGGCTGAGTCAACCTTGAGCCGGCGACCTGGGATCAAACCCCAGATCATGAGCACAATTTTGGCTGCAGTTGAACCACTGCGTCACAAGGCATTGCCTACCTAAGAACATTCAATCCTATACCCTGAGAAATGTAATTCTAAAGAAGATCTGTTCTGTACCCAGCTGTCTCGAGCAAGCAGGAGTGTTGCTTTCATGAGAAGGGGAGCTCTAATGTAGCACCATCTGTAAATGTTCTGCACCACCGCAGGCTGAAATTGGGCCTCGCATGGCATGGATTTTTATTAAAGGCTCAAAGCAGTGACAAGCAAATGGTCCCAGGAGCACAGCACTTGATGAGCCATTTCTTGAAGCAGGAGGGCAGCATGTGGTCATGATGCTCCTGATGGCAAAGACATTCCCAATTATTGCGCTTATAAAAAAAATGGATGCTTTCCCAGTTCTCATAGTGGTTTGGATCACTTGATGGAACTGATTATATAAGGTTTTCCCTATGCACTTTGTAACCCAGAAATTTTGGCGGGCACAGCTAGTGGTGAAGGCTTCTGGGGATTCTAGTCCAAGAACATCTAGGGACCCAAAGTTGGGAACCACTGATTTAGCGGGACCATCATGGACTGGTAGAGATGGGAGAACCTTCCCCCTCAGGCCATTTCCCCCCTGTGCACAAAAATCCTAAATATGTGTGCAAAAATCCTAAACATATTTGTACAGTAGGATGTCCATATTGGCAGGGGTTCGGTTCCAAGCCCCCCCCAAGTGGATTCTGAAAAAAGATTAAAGCAAATGCTATTATAACAGTGAATGCTATATGTAGCATGGTCAGCAGCTCCGCTAGTGGCCAGTTCTGGTCACTTCTTTTAAAAAATCCTAACATTTTTATTATTTCCAGACCATAGATAAGTGAATCAGTGGATACTGATCCCGCGGATAAGAGATTCCAACTGTAGAGACCAAAAAAAAATAAAAGGATCTTGCCTGGTGTTTCCTTCTTGCACTGGAGATAGGATTTCTTAGAGGGCCTGAAAATCCCTTGAGGGTGACTTTGTATATAAAGAAAGCCCATTTGAGACATAATGAAATGTTGGTAAAATATCTTCACATCAGAAAGATTTCTGTTATCCATACAACCAGTCTTAACACTGTGCTATTGCTGGACTCCTCTAGGGAAGAGAAGATGGAGCAACTGGAACGCATGGTCCTGGGTCTCCGTCAAGAAGTCCTCTCCTTGAAACAGAAAGTTCAGCGCCTAGAAGCTGCCTCTTTTAAGGAACCAGAACTTGGTTGCCAACCCTGTGAGGTGCCTGAACATTTCAACGGGTACACCAAGGAACAACTCAAAGAGGCCATTCGGTTTGACCAGAAAATCAGCACGGCAAGTGTCAAATTTTATCTTCCTGGGCTCCATGAGCACTGCAGATGGAGACAGCAGCCCTGAAATTAAAAGGCGCCTTCTTCTTGGGAGGAAAGCGATGACAAATCTGGACAGCATGTTGAAAAGCAGAGACATCACCTTGCCAACAAAAGTCCGAATAGTCAAAGCTATGGTTTTTCCTGTCGTGATGTATGGAAGTGAGAGCTGGACCATAAAGAAAGCAGACCGCCGAAGAATTGATGCCTTTGAATTGTGGTGCTGGAGGAGGCTCTTGAGAATCCCCTGGACTGCAAGGAGAACAAACCTATCAGTTCTAAAGGAAATCAACCCTGAGTGCTCACTGGAAGGACAGATCCTGAAGCTGAGGCTCCAGTACTTTGGCCATCTCATGAGAAGAAAAGAGTCCTTGGAAAAAACCTTGATGTTAGGAAGGTGTGATGGCAAGAGGAGAAGGGGACGACCAAGGATGAGATGGCTGGACAGTGTCTGCGAAGCAACCAACATGAACCTGACACAACTCCGGGAGGCAGTAGAAGACAGGAGGGCCTGGCGTGCTCTGGTCCATGGGGTCACGAAGAGTCGGACACGACTAAACGACTAAACACACAGGAGACCCCGATGGTCTCTGCCACTCAATCACAACGAAAACCATGTGTAGTTCAGTCAAAGGCAGGAGGGAGAGTAAGGTGCGGTAAATCCCTTAAACTGGCTAGCCTGTTTTCTCAGGTGCGTTAAATGGTGAAATCAGAAGCCAAAAGACGGAGGCAATTCATGGACTGAGCAGCAGGCACCTCACATCAGAATGGCAAGGTCTGTCCAATCTGGCCTGCTCGTGTTCACCCCATTGGTGAGCACTTGGCGCGATGTAGATACTGGCCAAATTAGAACTGCTGAACCGTAGGCAGAGGGGGTGTACATACGTAGCTGGGGAAAGCTCATTTCTGAGACTAGCGCTTCCAAAATGTCTCAGCCAGTATGCGGTTGCACCTCTGTGTGAGCGGGGTCCATATTATGCATAAGGCAGCTGAGGCTGAAGCCTAGGGGCTCCATGGGGACTAGGGGCCCATCAATTATTTTGCTGAGGCAGAAGATTGAAGTGCTGGAGGAGGTTCAAAATACAGTACCTGGAAGCCTAGTTAATACAGCCCTGGCAGGATCACTGGGATGAGCGACAGACACAGTGGACTAAGACCAGTGATATGACCCTGCTTGGCCTTCTGCATGGGATTACCTGTCACTGCTCCTGGACTCCGGAATGCCTTTGGTAAGGCAGCGTGGCTGTGGGATTGCTTTGATCGCCGCAGGGCACAGCAAGAGGAGGGAAAGCAAAAAAAAATTATAAATAAATTAAAAAATGACCTGATGAATGACGAATTGATTCATTGTTCATCAGGCCACTGGGGGGCAATTCGTGGGTCGTCAAGATTGATGATCCATGAACCAAGACAGAGTGCCATTTTGGTGCTTTGTCCCCATCTCTAATGTAAACTATCTTGGTTCCTTTGGAGAAAAATGAGGTAAAAATATTTTGCATGCATGCAGAAATATATGGGCAAATAGTGTCTTTGGTTTCCACCCACCCACAACAAACTCTGCACTCTTTATTACCCAGTTTCTTCCCAATCTGAACTTCCCCTCTCAAGCCACATAAAGCAAAAAACAAAGTATGCTGCTTGTATACCGCCCCATAGTGCTTCAAGCACTCTCTGGGCAGTTTACAAGCTAATTATGGAGGCTACACATTGCCCCCCACCACCAGCGAGCTGGGTCCTTATTTTATCGACCTCGAAAGGATAGAAGGCTGAGTCAACCTTGAGCCGGCGACCTGGGATCAAACCCCAGATCATGAGCACAATTTTGGCTGCAGTTGAACCACTGCGTCACAAGGCATTGCCTACCTAAGAACATTCAATCCTATACCCTGAGAAATGTAATTCTAAAGAAGATCTGTTCTGTACCCAGCTGTCTCGAGCAAGCAGGAGTGTTGCTTTCGTGAGAAGGGGAGCTCTAATGTAGCACCATCTGTAAATGTTCTGCACCACCGCAGGCTGAAATTGGGCCTCGCATGGCATGGATTTTTATTAAAGGCTCAAAGCAGCGACAAGCAAATGGTCCCAGGAGCACAGCACTTGATGAGCCATTTCTTGAAGCAGGAGGGCAGCATGTGGTCATGATGCTCCTGATGGCAAAGACATTCCCAATTATTGCGCTTATAAAAAAAATGGATGCTTTCCCAGTTCTCATAGTGTTTTGGATCACTTGATGGAACTGATTATATAAGGTTTTCCCTATGCACTTTGTATTGGGAACGTGGTGGCGCTGCTGGTTAAAATGCAGAAGCCTCTGTGCTGCAAGGTCAGAAGATGAGCCATCGTAAGATCGAATCCACGTGATGGAAGGAGCTCCCGTTGCTTGTCCCAGTTCCCGTCAACCTAGCCATTTGAAAGCATGCAAATGCAAGTAGATAAATAGGTACCACCTCGGTGGGAAGGTAACAGCGTTCCATGTCTAGTCGTGTTGGCTACGTGACGACGGAAACTGTCTACATACAAACGCTGGCTCTCTGGCTTGGAGATGGGGATTAGCACTCCCCCGTCGGACACAACTGGACTAAATGTCAAGGGGAACCTTTACCTATGCACTTTGTGCCTTGCCCTCATTTCTTTATATTCTTTTCTTAACATCCCCATTTTCTCATGCCCTTTCCAAGGGACTGAAGACAGTTTATCTTTTCTTTAAATTTATACATAGTTAGCCATGCATGCATGATGCCGTGTTGATTGGTATTGATCAGCCAAGGTATAACTTTGCCTTGTTTTATTTTATTTCTTCACATTTCTAATAAAAATGTCTTTTTTCTTTTCTTTTTCTTGGTAGCGTATACTGCAATTTACCTTAGAAATGAGTTCACTTGTGTACCAAAGGCAGCTTTTTCCTCAAGATAGTTGAGGAGGTTTTCAGTGAAATTATCCCTGGGGAGGGAACAGTTCAATTTACCCACTCAGAATGTTGTGGTCCTAATAAAACTCATCCTCTGATATTTGCTATATATATATATTTGTAACCTGGCTTAATTGTTGTCAACATACTGCATCCATGGCTAAGCCTAAGACATTAAATACGTAGCATGCAATTTAGGTGTTCTTCCTTCCTTAGATCCGAGTAAGGGCATGAAATCTTTTGCTCTAAGGCAGTGGTTCCCGATCTTGGGTCTCCCAGATGTTCTTGAACTACAAAACCCAGAAATTTTGGTGGGCACAGCTAGTGATGAAGGCTTCTGGGGATTCTAGTCCAAGAACATCTGGGTTACCCAAAGTTGGGAACCACTGATTTAGCGGGACCATCATGGACTGGTAGAGTTGGGAGAACCTTCCCCCTCAGGCCATTTCCCCCCTGTGCACAAAAATCCTAAATATGTGTGCAAAAATCCTAAACATATTTGTACAGTAGGATGTCCATATCGGCAGGGGTTCGGTTCCAAGCCCCCTCCCCCAGTTGATGCTGAAAAAAAACAGATTAAAGCAAATGCTATTATAACAGTGAATGCTATATGTAGCATGGTCAGCAGCTCCGCTAGTGGCCAGTTCTGGTCACTTCTTTTAAAAAATCCTAACATTTTTATTATTTCCAGACCATAGATAAGTGAATCAGTGGATACTGATCCCGCGGATAAGAGATTCCAACTGTAGAGACCAAAAAAAAATAAAAGGATCTTGCCTGGTGTTTCCTTCTTGCACTGGAGATAGGATTTCTTAGAGGGCCTGAAAATCCCTTGAGGGTGACTTTGTATATAAAGAAAGCCCATTTGAGACATAATGAAATGTTGGTAAAATATCTTCACATCAGAAAGATTTCTGTTATCCATACAACCAGTCTTAACACTGTGCTATTGCTGGACTCCTCTAGGGAAGAGAAGATGGAGCAACTGGAACGCATGGTCCTGGGTCTTCGTCAAGAAGTCCTCTCCTTGAAACAGAAAGTTCAGCGCCTAGAAGCTGCCTCTTTTAAGGAACCAGAACTTGGTTGCCAACCCTGTGAGGTGCCTGAACATTTCAACGGGTACACCAAGGAACAACTCAAAGAGGCCATTCGGTTTGACCAGAAAATCAGCACGGCATGCAAAACCCTTCTCTACAAGCTCTTCACCTCAGACTACATCCAAAGCCATTCCATCACCGGGAGGCGAGGGAATACCTTCCGGGAGGCAAAACCGATGATGGACGAGAGATGTATCAAGGTCATTAGGGTTTTGCTCAAGCAGAGGTTCGGGGACCATCTCAGCGACACGGTGATCACAGAGAAGATCCAAAACGTGCAGAAAGCTCTGAGGCAGAAATATAAGACGGAATGTCTGTAATTAGCACCCCTTTTTTGAATTGGGGCAACTCTATTATTCTCTTGTGTCAAAAAGGGGAAAAAATCTTTTACTCCTTGGAAATATACAGGTTTTAGGCGGCAAAAGGTTTTCATGGAATGAAGCCTGTTGGAATTAGATGAAAGAGATGACAAGGTTATGCTGAGGAAAACGTGAGGAAAAACTGCAAGAAGTGGGCCTGTTTAGCCTTGAGAAAAGAAGACTGAGGGAAGATAGGATAGCATTTTTCAAATATATACTAGAAAGGCTGTCATTCAGAGGAGGGGCAGGATCTGTTCTCGATCATCCCAGAGTGCAGGATATGCAACAATGGGCTGAAGTTACAGGAAGCCAGATTTTGATTGAATATCAGAAAAAAAAACCTCCTAACTGTTGTACTCCTCGGGAGTTGGTGAGTGCTCCAACACTGGAGGCATTCAAGAAAAACTTCGATAATCACCTATGCTTTCATTGTATTCCTGCATTGAGCAGGAGTTTGGACTCAATGGCCTTATAGGCCCCTTCTAACTTCATGATTCTATGATTCAGGCTGTCTTGAGTCTTTTTGTTGTTTCTAACAAGCCAAACGACAACCCCAACTGTCAATTATCAAATGTAATGTGCCTATGTTCTCATTGCCACCAGTAGAAGCTGTGACATGCCTGTTGTCATCAAACCTCTCAGCAACAACAATAACAACAAAGAATCTGTGTTGTTCAATATATTCACGAAGGCTTTCACGGCCAGGATCTAATGGTTGTTGTGTGTTTTTTAGGCTCTTTGGCCGTGTTCTGAAGGTTGTTCTTCCTGACGTTTCTCCAGTCTCTGTGGCCGGCAT